TGTAATCCCAGCACTTGTGGAGGCCGAGGCGGATGGATCACGAGGTCAAGGAGATACAGAGACGCATACCTGTGCTACACGGAGACCGCGTCTCTACTAAAAAAACTGCAAAAAACTAGCACGGCGGCGTGGTGGCGGCGGCGCTGTAGTCCCAGCGTACTCGGAGTGAGGGCAGGAAGAATGGCATGAACCTGGAGCGGAGCTTGCAGTTGAAGCGAGATCGCGCACTAGCAATCGCAGCCTGCGGTGACACAGCGCTGAGCGCGAGCTCCGATCTCAAAAAAAACAAAAACAAAAAAAAAAACAAAAAAAAAACTAGCGGCAATTGGGCGGCGCTGTCGTCCCAGCTACTCGGAGGCTGAGAAGGAGAATGGCTAACGCCGGGAGGCGACAGCTTGCGAGTGAGCCTGAGATCCGGCCACTGGCACTCCAGCCGTGGAGCAGACGCGAGACTCCGTCTCGAAAAAAAAAAAAAAAAAAACATATAAATATATATATTATATGAAGCGTATACATATATTATACACAAAAACAAAATTGCTGGGTGTAGTGGCTTGCTCCTGTAGTACCAGCTACATGAGAGGCTGAAGCAGAAGAATTGCTTGAACCCAGGAGGCATAGGTTGCAGTGAGCCGAGATTGTACCACTGCACTCCAGCCTAGTGACAGAGCAAGACTCTGTCTCAAAGTAATAATAATAATAATAATAATGTTTTAAGCCAACCAACATCAGTGGGACAGGAATCCTACTCCCCCCATTTTGTCCACTGCAAGGTCACATGGCAATAGGGAATGAGGAATTGAAAACAACATCCAATCTACCATAGCTAGTTGCATTCCTTCCTGTTACACTGCCTGTCTTTTCTGTCTCTGTGTCCAGCCATTACATCACCCAGTCTCAGATGCCCTCCTGGCCACCTGTCCTATGGCATAGTGCAAAGATCATTGGATTCAGATATTCGACATGGGAAGAGCTCCATTTCTGGTCCTTCCTCCTAGATGTGTGATCTTGTAAAAGTCATGTTACATCTGTGTCTACTCCATCTGCTAAAACTTACCTCATGAGATTGCCAGAAAGATTACGTGAGCTGACACAGAAGGACAAATTTTGTCCTCTGTATTTTCATTAAGACCCAGTGCAAGCCTTCCCTCTTAAAAGCTTTAAATAAATACCATTTCTCCCCAGGACTCTTAGTTGACATCCAGTGGCTTCTAGATATAAGAGAAGTTCCTGGCTGGGTGCGGCGGCTCACACCTATAATCCCAGCACTTTGGAAGGCCGATGTGGGAAGATCATGAGATCAAGAGATCGAGACCATCCTGGCCAACATGGTGAAACCCCTTCTCTACTAAAAATACAAAGATTAGCTGGGCGAGGTGGCGGGCCCCTGTAGTCCCAGCTACTCGGGAGGCTGAGACAGGAGAATCGCTTGAACCCGGGAGGCAGAGGTTGCAGAGAGCTGATATCACACCACTGCACTCTGGCTTGGGCAACAGAGTGAGACTTCCTCTCAAAAAAAAAAAAAAAAAAAGAGAAATTCCTGGAGAATTCTTTTTTGAAAACTTAAATTTGGCCAGGTACAGTGGCTCACACCTGTAATCCCAGTACTTTGGGAGGCTGAAGTAGGTGGATCACATGAGGCCAGGAGTTTGAGACCAGCCTTACCAACATGGTGAAACCCCATCCCTACTAAAATACAAAAATTACCTGGGCTAGGTGGCGCACACCTGTACTCCTCACTATTTGGGAGGCTGAGATGTGAGAATTGCTTGAGCCTGGGAGGTAGAAGTTGCAGTGGGCAAAGATTGTGCCACTGCACTCCAGACTGGGTGACAGAGCAAGACTGTGTCTCAAAAAAAACAAAAAAAAAAAACAAAAAAAAAACCTTTTATTTTTAGAGACAGGGTCTTGCTCTATTACCCAGGCTGGAGCACAGTGGTGTAATCATAGCTTCCTGTAACTTCTAATTCCCAGGTTCAAGTAATCCTCCTGCCTCAGCCTCCTGAGTAGCACCTGCACCACTATACCAACTTATTCTTTTTTTTTTTTTTTTTTTTTGACATGGAGTCTCACTTTGTCGCCCAGGCTGGAGTACAGTAGTGCAATCTTGGCTCACTGCAAGCTCCACCTCCCAGGTTCATGCCATTCTCCTGCCTCAGCCTCCCAAGTAGCTGAGAATACAGGCGCCCGCCACCACACCCGGCTAATTTTTTGTATTTTTAGTAAAGAAGGAGTTTCTTTTTTTTTTTTTTTGAGACGGAGTCTCACTCTGTTGCCCAGGCGGGAGTGCAGTGGCCGGATCTCAGCTCACTGCAAGCTCTGCCTCCCGGGTTTACGCCATTCTCCTGCCTCAGCCTCCCGAGTAGCTGGGACTACAGGCGCCCGCCGCCTCGCCCGGCTAGTTTTTTTTTTGTATTTTTTAGTAGAGACGGGGTTTCACCGGGTTAGCCAGGATGGTCTTGATCTCCTGACCTCGTGATCCGCCCGTCTCGGCCTCCCAAAGTGCTGGGATTACAGGCTTGAGCCACCGCGCCCGGCCAAGAAGGAGTTTCACTGTGTTAGCCAGGATGGTCTCGATCTCCTGACATGATCCTCCCACCTCAGCCTCCCAAAGTGCTGGGATTACAGGCATGAGCCACCACGCCCAGCCCTATTCTTTTTTTTATTTTGTATACATGGGGTCTCACTATGTTGCCCAGTCTGGTCTCAAACTCTTGACTTCAAGTTATCCTCCCACCTCATCCTCCGAAAGTGCTGGGATTACAGGTATGAGTCACCACACCCGGCCCTGGGGAAAATTCTTTAGAAATACTGAGTCTATCCTCCAGCCCTGCTGCTCTCAATTTACTCAGTGGGTATTGTTTCAGATTTCCCCCATGATCCTAATGTACCGGTCTCTACATTACTTTGCTCTTACTTGAATAGGTCACTATTTCATGCATTAAAGACTTGGATGGGAGTCCTAATTTTTATTTTCTGCAACTTGAGAATGTACTTTTCTAAGCCTCACTTTCCTCATTGATGAAGCAGGAATTTTCTCATGTCCACAGTTTCAGGGACGTTTCAATGAGATAACACAGTTAGGGCATTTGCCACAGTGCCTGGCAAGGCAGCTGGTTTTACTATTACTCTGTCTTATATGGACTTTGTGAAATAGCTCCAGCACAGGACTGAGTCCATCACAGCTGATTTACTGCAGAAATGCACTTTGACTTGTGGATGGAAGTTGGTGTACTGATTGTGCTGGGCGCGGTGGCTCACACCTGTAATCCCAGCACTTTGGGAGGCCGAGGTGGGTGGATCACGAGGTCAGGAGATCGAGACCATCCTGGCTAACACAATGAAACCCCATCTGTATTAAAAATACAAAAAATTAGCCAGGCGTGGTGGCGGGTGCCTGTAGTCCCAGCTACTCGGGAGGCTGAGGCAGGAGAATGGTGTGAACCCGGGAGGCGGAGCTTGCAGTGAGATCGCGCCGCCACTGCACTCCAGTCTGGGTGACAAAGCAAGACTCTGTCTCAAAAAAAAAAAAAAAAGTACTGATTGCTACTCACAACATCCTTCTCTTCCCATGGTGTGAATGAGAACATATGCACATCCGTGCTTTCCACACAAACACAGGCTCTCAAGCACGCGAGAAGCACGCGAGGTGTCAGGACCTTTCTCTGAAGTTGGTTGTAGGCAGATGTCCAGTCTAGTGACAGCGACAGGAACTTCAGAGGGAGGAGGGAGGCCTTCCCCACAGCCATGAGGGTGCTGCAGGGAGGTAAGATAAATGCCTGCATCTTAATGACCTCAGATCCAAATTCATTCTTACACTGTGGTAACACAGGTATGTCAAATGTTTGTCTGTACACTGTTTATCCTGTGTGGCAGCAAATACATTTACCAGGTCACTGCAGATGAAGATTTCACAAGAGGAGTTGACAAGCGCAGTTTAAAACGTCTGTTTAGGGCAGGACATGGTGGCTCATGCCTCTAATCCTAGCACAATGGGAGGCCAAGGCAGGTGGATCTCTTGAGCTCAGGAGTTCAATGCCAGCCTGAGCAACATAGCGAAACCCCATCTCTACCAAAAAATACAAAAGTTAGTTGGGGGTGGTGGCAGACACCTGAGGTCTCAGCTACTCGGGAGGCTAAGGTGGGAGAATTGCTAGAGCCCAGGAAGTTGAGGCTGCAGTGAGCTGTGACTGCACCACTGAACTCCAGCCTAGATGACAGAGTGAGACCCAATCTCAAAAAATAAAAATAGTCTGGACGCGGTGGCTCACGCCTGTAATCCCAGCACTTTGGGAGGCCGAGGCAGGCAGATCACAAGGTCAGGAGTTTGAGACCAGCCTGGCCAAAGTAGTGAAACTCTGTCTCTACTAAAAATACAAAAATTAGCCGGGCGTGGTGGCACACGCCTATAGTCCCAGCTACTGAGGAGGCTGAGGTAGGAGAATTGCTTGAACCTGGGAGGCAGAGGTTGCAGTGAACCGAGACCACACCATCGCACTCCAGCCTGGGCAACAGAGTGAGACTCCATCTAAAAAAATAATAATAAAATAAAAACACTCAACCCCCTTGCATCAGTGGTTGTAAGAACCTACTAAGGATAAGACCCATCAGTGACAATGAAACGGGCCTTAGGACTTATTATTTTTTTTTTTTTCCTGAGACAGTCTTGCTCTGTCACCCAGGCTAGAGTGCAGTGGCACAATCTTGGCTCACTGCAACCTCCGCCTCCTGGGTTCAAGCAATTCTCCTTTCTCAGCCTCCCAAGTAGCTGGGATTATAGGCATGTGCCACCATGCCCAGCTGATTTTTGTATTTTTAGTAGAGATGGGGTTTCACCATATTGATCAGGCTGGTCTCAAACTTCTGACCTCAGGTGATCCACCTACCTTGGCTTCCCGAAGTGCTGGGATTACAGGCATGAGCCACGGCACCCGCCAGACTTAGCATTTTGAAGTGGAGGCCGATCATGGTGATGGAGAAGGAAATCAGGGACAGATCTATACCATTTGTTTGCTACTTACTGCATGTAAACAGAATGAAATCAACACATTAAGTATTTAACTTCATTTCATCCACCATCTCCTGCAGACAACCAAGTTTCTCCCAAATTCATGTGCCTGGAAATGGCTTGAACCAAATGGTTCATGAGGAAAACCTATGATCTTTTTCATGAAATTGCCACATCTGGGCATCAGGAAAGCCTTCCCAGAGAATGTCTCACATCGGTCAGGATTTTCTCCTTTTTTAGACAGGTAGGTGTCCCCAAGCATTCAATCCTAGCTAAAATATGGAAGTATTTATCTAGCACAGGAGCCTATGGCATAGTTTCAGTCTGCTGTCTTGCAGACCTCATCTGGTTTGTCTTTGTATGAGTTGACTGGCCAGTAAATGGGGTATAAACTATGTAGGCTGTGGCCTGGCCTTGTGACAGAGGGGTCCCTGGAACTTGACTGCCACTCCCTAAGAGCAGAAACCCCATTTTTCTTGTACACTGCTGGATCCTATCATCCTGCACAGTGCCGGGCTATACTGGTGGCCAGCAATAAAACGCAAGATTGGGGCAGGCACAGTGGCTCACGCCTGTAATCCCAGGACTTTGGGAGGCTGAGATGGAAGGATCACTTGAGGCCAGGAGTTCAGGACCAGCCTGGGCAACATAGTGAGTCTATCTCTACAAAAAAAATTATTTAGAAAATTAATAAAACACAAGATGATTAGTTTGTGTGGTGAGACAGTATTGAATCCAACAAACGGGAACTGGATAGTGTCGTCCAAGATGCAATGGTGACTGCACCATGAGCCCCTTATCCATATCATATTTAGTGGATGAGGTGCCAGGCACTGTTCTGGGTGCTGAGAATAAAGCTGTGCATAAGACTAAGGTTCTGTCGACAGAGACTGTGTTACACCAGTGGAAAAGACAGTCATCAAACTTATGTCCTTGAAACAGTGATGAGTTCTAGAAGGAAAGAAAAGACTGATGTGACGGTGAGGAAGGGGTGAGTGGAGACTTCTCTGAGGCTTGAGTGATTCCTCTTCCTCTGAGCTGAGCCAAGCTGAGAAGCTGCGAGGAGTAAGATAGGGCCGGGAACTCAGGTCCGTTAGTCCGTCCTCCGAGGTAGGGCGGGACAGCAGAATGGATTTCCGATCTGCTCTGTGAGAGCCTCGCCCAAGAAAGCCCGGAGCCACTTCCAAGAGCCGCGCTCCCACGGGGGTGAGAAGCGTTTTTCCCCGAGACTGCTTGTGGCTTAGGACTGGGGACCCACTGGATTTGGAGTAAGCCCTGGCACAGGCCTCGAGGGAAGAAAGAACTCCCGCGCTCCCCACCCTCCACAGGATCTGCGATCATCTCAGACGTTCCGGTTCCACGTGCAGAAACCCCGCCGGTCCAAGGCCCGGGTTCCAAAACGGCCCTAAGAGTCAAAGTTTCCATAGCTCGCCTCTGAGACTGGCAAAGAGGCCCTGGGGCCGGTGCCTCCCGAGACCCAAACAAGCTCACGTGGCAGGGGCGGGGCTCCGCGAGGGCGTCACGGCGTGCTCGTGCGCGGCTGAGGTCACGCGCCAGCCGTACCCTTGCCCAGGGGCCGTAAAGCGCGGAAGGTCGCGGTCTCGGCTTCCCCGGAACTTTTTGCTCGCTTCGCCCCGCCCCCTTTCCATCCCCGAACCCCGCTTTCCGGCCCGCGGCGACCCCCGGCAACCGTTGTGGCAGCCGCATTGCTCCCGCCGGGTTGTAGCTGAGCGCGGAGCCCGTGGGGGCCCGTGAGGTAAGGAGATAGCTGCGGGGCCACTCTGGCCTCCCCGTCCGCGCGGGCCTGAGCGCCCCGGGACCCCTGGGTTCCCCTCTTTCTCCTTTGGTTTCGCCCGGGGGTGGTCTCCGCAAGCCCCCGCTTCCAGTCGTTTCCGCCTGGCCTCGCGAAGGCGCGTCCAGGCGCCAGTACTTGGTCCCCGGAATGTTGTCCGCTCGTGTCCTCGGCTACCTCTGGGCCTGCGCACCGCTCCTCCAGGTCCCTGCACCTCAGCCCCGATGCCAGTGCGGGCGGGGTGACCTCGGGCGCCCCCCTCTCGGGCTTGCACACCCCTGCGGCGCAGAGCCAACTCCAGCTCGCCTAGCCCGGTCGCATCCCTGCAGGTGGAACTGTTTTCCCGCGTTGAGACGTGCGGTCCGCTTGTGCTTTATAACTAGTAAGACTGCTGCAGAGTCCTGAGAAAGAAGTCACCTAGAAAAGCCTGGGCCAGGGCAGTGAGCTTCCTCCTTAATGTTTGACCTTTGGGGGCCGATGTGTGATACCTCGGATTTGAAACAAGAATCTCCAAGCCCGTGTCTCGCATGCATATAAACATGATGTACGGGGTTGGGGGCTGGTGGTGGAGGAGGAGCCAGCCCGACGGGTATGCTTTTCCAGTGATAGGGACTTGTGTTAATTTCTTTTTTATTTTTTTCTGAGTCGGAGTCTCTTTCGCCCAGCCAGGCTGGAGTGCAGTGGCGCGATCTCGGCTCACTGCAACCTCCGCCTGCTGGATTCAAGCAATTCTCCTACCTCAGCCTCCCAAGTAGCTGGAATTACAGGTGCGCGCCACCTCGTCCGGCTAATGTTTGTATTTTTAGTAGAGACGGCGTTTCACGATGTTGGCCAGGCTGGTCTCGAACTCCTGACCTCGTGATTCGCCCGCCTCAGCTTCCCAAAGTGCTGGGATTACAAGCATGAGCCACCGCGCCCGGCCAACTTGTGTTCATTTCTTAAACTCGCGTGATCACCTGGTGTACTTGTTGAAAAATACAGCTCCCTGGAGTGGCAGGATCAGACTCTGCAGAGGTGGACCCTGGGAATCTGTCGTTTTTAAACAAGTGTCCCAGGTGGTTCTTTTGCTGAGGCAAGTGTGGAAAATGTTGTGTGAACCCACCCATGCTCATCCAGTCTTCCTTGTGACCGGCGGTCCACTGTGTGCAACGCCGAAGCCATACAGAGGGACACCTCGAAGTTAGAACTAGCACCTTGGTCTTGTTGGAATAAGGAGATCTCAGTAGAGCCAGCCGCAGTCTTACAGTTGTTTAGCAGAAGTTATTCTTCTTAGCAGAGAATATTATACGGTCATTTTCCAGAACCTTAAAAAATATATGATTTGTTCTTTTTTTTTTTTTTTTTTTGAGACGGAGTCTCGCTCTGTAGCCCGGGCTGGAGTGCAGTGGCCGGATCTCGGCTCACTGCAAGCTCCGCCTCCCTGGTTTACGCGATTCTCCTGCCTCAGCCTCCCGAGTAGCTGGGACTACAGGCTCCCACCACCTCGCCCCACTAGTTTTTTGTATTTTTTAGTAGAGACGGGGTTTCACCGTGTTAGCCAGGATGGTCTCGATCTCCTGACCTCGTGATCCGCCCGTCTCGGCCTCCCAAAGTGCTAGGATTACAGGCTTGAGCCACCGCGCCCGGCCTATGATTTGTTTTAAACCAGATGATGTGCTTCATTTCTGTCTTTGACGTCTTCAGTTTCTTCTCCCGTGGCTTTACCTCCTTTGCTGTCAAGCTTTGCTTTGGTTTTGCGCCAACCCCATAGGCTTAGGTTTGACAGCAAAAGTGCTAGACTCTGGTGCCTTCCTTTCCTTCGTTGTCTTAAGCCCTTCTTTTCCTCTGCCCTCATGCCCTCACCACTTCACTCTTTTGAAGGTCATAATGAACACAAGGTCAGAAATCCCTTTTTTGGCGCCAAGCTCCCTGGGCTTTTATTGAGAAGAAGTCTCACTGTGTTGCCCAGGCTGGAGTGCAGTGGTGCGACTGTGCCCACTGCAGCCTCCACATCCCTGGTTGAAGCAGTGCTGCTGTCTCAGCCTCCTGAGTAGCTGGGACTACAGGTGCAAGCCACGACACCCGGCTAATTTTTGTGTTTTTAGTTAGAGATGGGGTTTCACCATGCTGATCAGGCTGGTCTCGAACTCCTGACCTCAAGTGATCCACCTGCTTTGGCCTCCCAAAGTGGTGGGATTACTGGCGTGAGCCACTGCGCCTGGCCTTTTTTTGTTTTAAGACAGAGTCTCACTCTGTCACCCAGGCAGGAGTGCAGTAGCATAATCTCGGCTCACTGCAACCTCTGTCTCCCAGGCTCAGGCGATCCTCCTACCTCAGGAGTTCAGGACCAGCCTGGGCAACATAGTGAGCCTATCTCCACAAAACAAAAATATTTTAAAAATTAATAAAACACGAGATTGGCTTATGTGGTGAGACAGTATTGAATCCAACAAAAGGGAACTGGATAGTCTGGCCCAAGATGCAATGGTGGCCGCACCATGAGTACCTGGGACCACAGGCACCCGCCACCACACCCAGCTATTTTTTTGTATTTTTGGTAGAGACGGGGTTTCACCATGTTTGCCAGGCTGGTCTCCAACTTCCAACCTCAAATGATCCACCTGCCTCGGCCTCCCAAAGTGCTGGGATTACAGGTGTGAGACACCGTGACCAGCCTGAAGTTTTTTTAAATTCCACCTTAAAACTCATCTGTTAACTGTGTTTGTTCTGCCACCTTTGCAGTTCCCTTTTTCCTGTTAGGGGGATGTGCCTAATAGTTCAGTCCTCACAGCTGTCCTTTCCTTACCATGTGCTTTCATTTGAAAGGTAGCGTGGAGTCATGATTAAATAGCAGGCCACTAGTGCCAAATTGACAGGGTTCTGCTGCTCAACAATTTGGTAGGACCTTGGGTGAGTCACTTTCACTTACCTGTACAAGTGTAGAGTAGAAATGCTAATATCTACCTCATAAGGTTGTGAGGATTAAATTAGTTATATACGTAGGCAGTATCTGGTGCATTGTAACTACTTATAAAAATATTAGCTTTAAAAATAATTCTTGGCCAGTCATAGTGGCTCACACCTGTAATCCCAGCACTTTGGGTGGCCAAGGTGGGTGGATCACCTGAGGTCAGGAGTTCGAGACCAGCCTGGCCAACATGGCGAAACTCCATCTCTACTAAAAATACAAAAAATTAGTTGGGCACAGTGGCATGCACCTGTAATCCCAGTTACTCAGGAGGCTGAGGCAGGAGAAACACTTGAACCTGGGAGGCAGAGGTTGCAGTGAGCCAAGATCACACCACTGTACTTCAGCCTGGGTGACAGAGTTGAGACTCTGTCTCACAATAAATAAAAATAAAAATAATTTTCTCGGGTATTTAGATATCTCCTCAAATCTAGGGACCTACCCTTGATTTTTCCCCCGTCTTCTTTGTTCTCTGTTCTCATTCATGCATCAACATGTATTTCCTAGATACCTATGCTGAATGCTAGGAAAATTGAGCAATTTATAAGGTTTCTGCTCTTAGTTCCATTATAATAAGGAAATAATAGGCCGGGTGTGGTGGCTCAGCCTGTAATTCCAACCTGTAAATCCCGCTTTGGGAGACCAAGGCGGGCAGATCACTTGAGGTCAGGAGCTCAAGACCATCCTGTGCAACATAGTAAGACCTCTCTTCTACAAACATTCATAATTTTAAAATTAGCTGAGCGTGATGGTGCACACCTGTGGTCCCAGCTATTCTGGAGGCTGAGGTGGGAGGATCGCTTGAGTCTGGGTGGTTGAGACTGCAGTGAGCCATGATCATGCCGCTGTACTCCAGCGTGGGTGACAGACCTCGTCTCAAAAAATAATAAAAAATAACCACTACTTACTGAGTGCTTCTTAGGTGCTTGTACCATGTTCTTCCTGCCTTGTCTGATTTAGTCTTTGCAGCAACCATGTGAGGTAGGTGTTACTAGCCCATATTACAGATGAGGAGCTCAAGGCATAGAGATCTGGTAACTTGCTGAAAGTCATACAGCTAGTGAGAGGTGGGGATATTTTCAAACCCAGACCTGTCCGCCCCCAAAGCCTGGATTCCCTGCTGTGCTGGCGTGTTGCTTCTCTGATTGGCAAACAGACCATTGTGTAGCGTGGTAAGTTCTGTGCTGGGAGAAGTGCAGTGTGCTATAGGAGAACATAGAAGAGCCACCTAACCAAGTTTTGGAGAAGGAGGGGGTGAGCATCAGATAAGATGTCAAAGAGGGGGCTGGGCGTGGTGGCTGATGCCTGTAATCCCAGCACTTTGGGAGGCCGAGGCGGGCAGATCACAAGGTCAGGAGAGCAAGACCATCCTGGCTAACACGGTGAAACCCCGCCTCTACTAAAAAATAGAAAAAAATAGCCGGGCGTGGTGGTGGGCACCTATAGTCCCAGCTACTTGGGAAGCTGAGGCAGGAGAATTACTTGAACCCAGGAGGCGGAGCTTGCAGTGAGCTGAGATCACACCTCTGCACTCCAGCCTGGGTGACAGAGTGAGACTCCATCTCAAAAAAAAAAAAAAAAAGATGTCAGAGAGGCTGTGACCTGAGGAGATTACCTGTATTTGTGGAAGGGGTGGCAGGAACCATGCCAGGAGGGATCAGCATGCACAGAACCTGGAGCTGAATAGAACATTCACGCCTCACCTGATATGTTTGGGGAATTACAGGTTGTTCAGTCTGGCTTGGTCAGAGTGTGGGGAGAGGAGAAGTGAGACCACAGATAAGAACCAGACTGTGAAGGATCTTGCACTTGATATGAAAAGAGTTTTGCCTTTTTCCTGAGGGCATCAGAAAGTCATTAAGGCTGGGCGTGGTGGCTCACGCTTGTAATTCCAGCACTTTGGGAGGTGGAGGTGGGTGGATCATCTGAGGTCATGAGTTCAAGACCAGCCTGATCAACATGGTGAAACCCCGTCTCTACTAAAAATACAAAAATTAGCTGGGCATGGTGGCATGCGCCTGTAGTCCCAGCTGCTCAGGAGGCTAAGGCAAGAGAATTGCTTGAACCTGGAACATGGAGGTTGCAGTGAGGCGAGATCACACCACTGCACTCCCAACTGGGCGACAGAGCGAGACTCTGTCTCAAAAAAAAAAAAAAAATGCTGAGGAAAAGGAGCAAAAAGGGAGGGAAACGTTGCAGGTAGATGAAAGAGACAGAGCAGTTGATGGAGCTAGGGTCAAGAGAAGAGAGGAGGAAGTGGGATCCAGGGCACTTGGGGAAGATTAACTTTCTGGTGGATAAAAGAAGGAAGGAAGAGATGGTTGCAGATGCAAGTGGGTCTATAGGAAGGGTTTCAGGGAATGAGGTGAGACAGGTTATCTGCTTAGAATGAGGGAAGAAAGGAGGTGAAGTTGAAGGTTGAGAGAGGAGCAGCTGGGCTCTGAACCTGAATACAGACAGAGGTCTGCCTGTGGCTTAACATGTGCTAGCCTAAGCCACCAAGGAGCAGGACAGTTTTCAAGTATAACCAAGTGGTCACGGGTCAGAAGCCAGGAGGTTGACATTGAGGTCAGTGGGATGGGGCTGGCCATTAGGCAGCGGCAGTTCCCCAGGAGAGCTGTGTTGCCATTGGGACAGGGTAGAGAGAATGTCAGCAAAGGGGTAGGTGCTTGCCTTCGGGGAAGGTATTCTAGATGGTGCAGTAGAGGGGCTTGAAGGGGAGGAAAGTGAAGAGAGCTTTGGTCATGCGAAGTACAGTGGTCACATGGAGATGAGATTATGGAAAGACTAGCTGGGTAGAGAAGCTTCTGTCTTGAGATGGTGCTTAATAGGGACCGGGGTGAGAGGCATGGTGGCATTCACAAGCCGGCCAAGACAATTTGTCTCCAGTTGGATGGGATGTCGGGCTGGACACAGTCTGTGCTTGCATTGGTTACAGTTGTGAGAGTCCTCTGTGATGGATGGACATAGATACCTTGGCCTTGGACAATTTGGGCTGACTGTGGAGTGTCTGGGGGTCCTGTGGCTGGCAGTGGAGGCGGTAAGGAGGTGACTAGCAGTGAGCTGCCCTGAGGCCCCCTTGTCTATCGCCTCTCATCTCAAAGTCCTCATCCTCCTGTACACATGACTGCATGGACAACCAGTATGTCTTTCTTCAGTTTCTTGAAACTTCAACAGTCATCTGTTTTGCTGATAGATTAAGTTTATTAAAACC